TCTCTCCTGTCATCTCTCTGGAGCCGTAATAAGAAGGTTAATGGGCTGAGACTGAAGTTGCAAAATATGAAGCCGTTAGACAAATGTGTGCCGGAATGACGAGGCAATTACACTGACAGACGCACTGCCGGGCTGTCAGAGTTAGGAGTCGGAATAAGAATTAAACCTCCACTTAGTACAACAGGAGGAAATGTGAAATCAGCCAAAAAACTATTACACTGCAATTAGAAACGAGTGCTCCAATTTGAGCATTTTATCTCCGAACCAGCACTCGCAGCTTTGATAAAAAAAAAATTAAAAGGCTAAGAAATTAATGGGATTAGGAAACAATCAGCCGAGCAGCCTGACTGCCAACGACGCAACTTTTCATATCACCATTTTTAATGCTAATGATACCCATTTAAAACGAAAGGCTTTGTGTTGCATTCAAATAACCTCATGAAAGTGAATAATTTGTCATTGTGACACAGAACAACACAAAATTTGACCTCTACTTTTAATCCATCGCCACAGTCAGCAGCTTGACAGCTGGTGGACTCAAACCTGAAACCTTCCGAACAACAAACATTTGCTCTGGTCTGACAACTTTTTCCAAATATCATTGGTTGAGATAAAATGAATGTAACAAATAGCAGCTACTGAAAATGATGTTTTACTTTTTCAAATTATTTTCTGTAACCATGCACTTAGCTGTCTTATTTTTATTTTATTTTTAAGGGTTTGCATGTTCAGCTTCTCCAGCAGGTGGTGCCCTACGCAGCCACTTAGTTCTGCCTCACTCAGACTCTGAGTAAAAACATACAACTGCTGTTTAGGATCCCAACTAATCTGAAATGGAACATTTCCACCACTAAAAACAGCTTATGTACCAGTTGTGGTTCTCGTACCGTAGTTTAAGAACCACTGGATATACATCAAATTCTCAGCAGCTTGGTGGTTTGAATGTGTACTTATATACAAGTGAATGCAATGCTATGCTAAGTATATTTTACTTTAAAAATAATGACATTAATCTTTTACAAAACAAATGTTGACAAGTGATCAATATTGTCCCCAGTAAAATTTCAAACTTAAGAACAGTATAATACAGGTTCATACCAGGAAGATTCTGTTTCATTTACACTTTGACACTTTCTTTTTTACTCACTTTCAGTTTCTTATAGTTTTGTCTGAACCAAGTGTACACGAAGATAAAAAACTAGTCTTAATTTCTACAGAAACAGCTTGACCGCTTTGATAAAGCAACGCTGCCAGGGCTTTTGACGTTGCATTTCAATCAACCTGTAAAAACCCCAGATCATTTCCAAACCCCTCTCTCTCTCTCTTCAGCAGGCTTAACCCCTGCAGCCTCACCAAAGTGCTTCAAGCCACATCGTTTATGAATTATTGAAAAACAGCAGCGCTGCACATGAAATCAACATTCACATATTTTATGATTTGCTCTCAGCTCTCCCTCCCTCCTCTGGCTCTTCCTCTAATCTGTTATTTTGGTAATGATCTGTATTCCTGTGGCATTAGGGTTGGTGAGGGCCTGTGCCCACTGATGCAACGTGTCAGGCATGCTGAGTGACATTACACTGGGCTGCTCTGTTTTTTGTTTTTGTTTTCACACTGTTTTACTGGTAGGTGATTTTCTTCCCTCTTCAGCTTCAAAATTTACACTTTAATATCTTTCCTGACCTACTGAAGATTACTCCAAAAGCTGCCGTATGTTTACTAGACATACTGTAACTACCAACGGTTGGGTTACAGCATGTTTGCATTGCACCCTGCGGCGTATTGAACCTTTAAAGGGAGCTACGGCTGCTCAGAAACGAGCACACAGCTCGTTGACTGCATGAATTATGCATTAAAAATAATGTATCTTTGATCCCCCCCACCCCTCTCTTTTTCCCATTTGCAATACTGCATGAAGAGCTGAATGGTCTGTAAATTTTATGCAAAATGGCTCCCCCTAGTGTCAAGGATAGGGGCGACATCAGGCAATACGTTCTCTTCAGGCGAATGAAGCAGCAGCACGTGCAGCTATTTTTTTTTTACAAGATCAGCGGTTGGTAAATATTTTCGGTTAATAATCGCAAACAAATGATGACGTGTCGTCTTCAATTAAAAAGAAAATCCACAGTGTATTTCAGAGTTTCGATTCAAAGTTTGCAAAATAAATAAATACATATATAAAATAAAAAAAGAGTTTGGATGTTAACATAAAGAAAAATAGCCTTTTATTTATTTTGAATTTTTCACTGTGTGACTATTAGTCACATTGAATCTTTCTATATCTATATGTATGAACATAATTCCTTTAGTCGTGTTTTTTAAGCAGACAGACAAATAAGATAGCCTTTTATTTATTTTGAATTTTTCTCTGTGTCACTATTAGTCACATTTAATCTTTCTATATCTATATATATATGAACATAATTCCTTTAGTCATGTTTTTTTAAGCAGACAGACAAATAATCTTTAAATATCCATGACTTTGTGGGTGAGAGTTAAGAATTCATTAATTTCCACATTAAGTCAGTCATTTTACCTCCGAGCAGTGTGAAAAGCCAGCATTGATCTTCTCTTGCTGTGCCAGTGTTGTAAAAATCCATACTAATTCTTCTGGTAAAAAATAGGGCGAAACAGACTGAGGCTGTGCTGAGTTTAGAGATTTAAAAAGTAGATTAACTTCTTCTTGATCCAAGAAAATGGTCATGTATAGTTTCACAATCTCACATAATGAAGATATGATCATCCGGGTCACTACTTAAAACAAACAACAGTAACAATGTCTTTAAATAGAGCACATTCAAAAGATTAATTCATTTCCTATAGTCAGCAGACTGTGAAAACATTCTGCTGTTTTTAGCATAATGGTAATTAAGTCCTTTTTTTGCAATGTTCCGTTGCATTGCATTGAACAATGTTTCAATTTCTTTTATGGCGCCAACGCTCATCTAGCTAAACACTCTTTGTTTGTGTAAGTGCCTCATTGTCTTTAATGTTGATTACAAAGAGTATAGTGTTGAATGTGAGAATAAGATGAAGCAAAAACAAACAATAAGGGAACAGAAGAGCAGATTTGAAGTTCACACAAAAGTTGGCTCAGAAATGGCTAACTTTAGCTAGGATGCTAGCAATCATTTTAAAAAAAAGATATTGAAAAATCAATATCTTTTTTATGTCTCTCCAGAAACAACAGACACTTGGTAGAATAAAAAAAACGAGCTACGTAGTTAAAAGAAATTCTTAAAAATACTGTGGACGGTTTTATTTTTTAACTTTTCATTTTTATTGGCAAATATAGCAAACAAAAATACTATGCTGCAGTCTGTGTCTTTTCTCTAAATCGGCCGCTCTGTTGGGCCTTTAGATTTTTATGGTAACTTCATGTACACATTTAAATGACAGTAAATATAACCACTGTACTTAAAAAGTACATGAAGCCCTGTCAAAAAGACGATTTAACCTATTAATTCTGAAAAATGTAATACACAAGTATCATATGTAATTTTCTAAAGATATATTGCACCATTTAAATCTAATTAGAAGAAATGTGTTGAGTGTGTTGGGAATGGTTTATAATTGGACTCTAACTGTGTTACCTGCCTTCGCAGAAGAAAACAGTTTTATAACGACAGCAATTAAATCTGTTTTTGCCGTATATTTACATTTTATAAATAAACCCCCCCAGAAACGTTTAATTCATATTAAGTATAATCTGCCGTGTTTCATGTTACTGTCACAACAAACGTACTACAGCATGATACACTCCGAGCTAGTACCGGTCCAAATTACTACTGTTCAAATACTACTGGTCCAAATTATTACTGTTCAAAATTGCACGTGAAGGCAGCAACAGTCTCCACCACCACGTAAGCGGTTTCTTCACGCGTGTACACACGCGACGCTTGTTCCTTTTCACCTCATTGGTCAGCGAAGCCGGGAAACTCCTCGTGACATGTCTGCCGGTATAAATACCAAGGGCGCTGGTGTGCGTACGCAGCCCTAGTGTATGAGGGAAAATGTATCGTCTCGGCCAACAGTTTATCTCCAAGATCGCTTTTAATTCCTTTTTATCTACAGTGCCGCGGGAGTATTTTCATTTTACGAGACGCTGCAATAAAAATTGGTCGTGTATTGGCTGATTTTTGGTGATATTTTTTTTACTTAACTGCACGAAAATGCCAAGGACCAAGAAAAAGAACAGCCGGGGTAAGCGTGGCCGCATTTCTCCGGCCTGGTTTGTTGTTTGCGTCATTGGCCCTGACGGGTGTTGTAGTTCTTTCGGTGCGTTGAACTCGTTGACTCGCGTCGAATGTGTGTACAGTTAGGACTACAATCGTTGGCGGCTGGCCTGCGTCAAAACAAAGCCGAGCAACCGCGAACACAAAAACCCCTAGTTTGTGACATGACGTGTCCTTAAACAAATATTAAATTTGTGTTGCTAAGTTAATTTGTCTTCTACTGCCCTTAGACTAATTATAACACATATTACAATTGTTTTATTTTTTTAAATTCACGATCTGCATTGCTAACTAGCATGTGACTAACTCGTATCTGGCAAGTGTAGTAAGTCTAGATATACTTAGACTTACTACGGTTTGATGTTATCACAACAATACGATACATTAAAGTTTAATATCATTACTTTTTATTTACGTTTTTTGTTTACTATTACACCTGGTCTGAGCCTGGTGTTTTTCCCGTCTACGTGGCGTCTTTTAAACTTTAGCTGACCGTAAAGCTTTTGTTATTGTGTGAATGTATTAACTTAATGGTGCTATACAAAAAAAGGTTAAAAACAAAGATTACATAGGTTATTTCTTTTTAAAAAAGTGGACCCAAACGACGGACATGTTGGCTGGTTGAAAAAGAGGCGGAGCCCGTTTCCCAGAAATCAGCTGTTGTGGAGGGGGAGAGAGTCCACGTCAACACAAACACACATTTTTCGGAAACGTGGACAAAATACTATTTGGAAAGTTCTTGTGTATTTATAAATATGCATACAAAGTACTAAGAAATTGTGATTCTACCGTAGAACAATATACCTACGCCCCACAAGAAGCCAAATAGAAAAACAAAGTTAAAAAAATATTTGTCTAACTCAGCTAAATTATTTTTTCAGATTATTACCATAAAATGACATTCTGTAAATCGAGCTATTTGACTATTTTATACCCTCCATAATAGAGCTGTAGCATCCTTTGGATAAACTGTGTGAACTTTGGTCACTTTAGGCTAAAGAAGAGGTATAAAGATCACATTAGGTCGGGACATTAAGCCATCCTGATAAAATCATGGCATGTGTTTAGTTTGAAAGTTTACCGTTAAGGATAGACTGTATGTTGAGTGTGAGGCATGTTTACACTTTTGCATTTCAAACATAGCCTCAGAGGTTAAATGGGGTCATGGGAGACATGCCTGTTGTGTCTGCGTCTACAAGTACAATTGTACTTGTGACTCATTGACTACATTTTTGTGTGTAATTTAACAGCACGTGTATAATTTCATGACGTATTTGCACCTATTAAAAACCCTTGATCGCTTCATGATGTTTATTATACATTGATTAAACTGACTTTTCCAGTAAGCTCAGTCACAGGCTGTTTGTGTCAAGTGTTGTCATGTTGACCTGTGTCAACTCTTAAACCCTCAAATAACAAGCCTGACGTTGTACTTGCAGAGCAAACACTCGTCCTTGACCGTGGCAGGAGTGGTCACGGTGCGTTTTGAGCGATAGTGAAGGTACAGAAGAAAAAAAAAAATTAGATAACAGCAGCGTTGTACCTGTAAATGTGTTGCATAACAGACCTGCTCCGACTCGCTGTGCTGCGCTCTAACCTGCGACAATGTCACAGTGGATTAAATTTCCCGTGTGCTGTTTTTTGCAGGGGGACAACATGGAAATGTCCAGCCTTTCAGCGACGAGGATGCTTCTATTGAAACGCTCAGCCGTTGCAGCAGCTTCAGTGACGTCACCAGTGTAGTCGACGAAGGTGAGTTCAAATAAGATGTTGTAACACGGTCTTGCTGCTTAGTTTCAGTTCTCTGTTCTTTCTTTACAGTTACAGTGCACGCTCAAAACGCACTTCTGTGTCTGCAGGTGGCGAGGCCAGTGAGGACGCCGCACAGGAGGATTTTCAGTTCAAGCTGAAAGGGTTCATTGACAGCACAGTGGACAAGAGGTGAAACACTTTCTGATCTCCACATGCAGGTTCTTGCAAACCTCAGCAAAATGTTACTTTGTTTCAGATACAAAAGTACAATTAATGGAAATGTTTTTGAATATTCTGTACATAAAATACAAAAGTATATCATGAGCAGAATACCCAGTGATTCTATTGTCCATCAACTTATCGTTGGTCTGGTACACTCGATATACTGTTATTTAAACACACTGCTGGAAAAACTTTTCTTTTCACTGTAGCAGCTCAGGTTTAAAAGACATCTCTGGGTTTCACTGCAACATGATAAAATAATGTATAACCTGTGTCATATTTGTCATATACTTGCAGCTTACTTTGTACAAAATATTTTTGCATGTAGTAAAACCTTGCACCAAAATAAATTCAAATTTGAGTTCAAATTAATATTTTTTTATTTCCTCAGTGCTAAAACCCGACAGGGGGCTCTGGACGGGCTGAAGACGGCGATGGCCACACGGATCTTGCACGAGTTCATCTCTGACAGAAGGATGACCATCACAGACAGCATCGAGCGCTGTCTGAAGAAGGGTACTTGACTCCACTTTTCTAACTTCACCCACTGTTCTCCTGCAGCTTAGCAAACATCATTTTTACACCATTTCTATAAAGCTGTTGAAGACATTTGGGAATACAAACTCAACCCCCCACACACATTTTAATTGAGTCTGTTTGATTTTGATTGATGGCTCTGATAAACGGCTCTGCCTCGTGTCTTCTGATTTAATCGTCTGTTTTCTCATCTCAATGTCAGGCAAGGGAGAGGAGCAGCGAGCGGCAGCGTCGTTGGCCTGCCTCCTGTGTATCCAGCTGGGCTCGGGCATCGAAAGCGAGGAGGTTCTGAAAACTCTGAAACCCATCTTCAAAACCATCTTGGCAGATGGATCCGCCAACATACAAGCCAGACAGGCTGTGAGTAGTGGCTTTGTGTCGGAGATAATCAGCGGAGGGGAAATTGGGTCTTTTTTGTTTTTCTCTCTCTAGGAAACGCTCAGTGCCTGCTGCTGGGAGATGGCAAAGATGTCAGCACTGAAAAATGTTTTTCTGCTTCTCTCACAGGTGGCCACAGGTTTGGGCCTTTGTACTTTGGTTGCGGAAGATGACATTTTGGTAAGTTCTCCAGTGCTTTGTTTTTTAATCGGACCATGTCACATCACATCTTTTGTGTTGCAAAAGATGTGTTGAAAGCTTTATATTTGTACTTCAGGATGTGCACGCCACCATGGAGTGCTTCGAGAACTTGTTCATGCGGTCCTGCGCGAGGCAGGACGGTACCTGTCCTTCGATCAGTCCCCAGATGAGTCAGCTGCACATCAACGCTCTGCTCTCCTGGGCTCTGCTGCTGACCATCTGCTCCGGCAGTCAAATCAAAGAAATACTACAAAAGTGAGACATTTTGCTCACAGTTATTTGCCAATCTTTGTTTTTTTGAAATACTACAAAAGTGAGACATTTTGCCCACAGTTATTTGCCAATCTTTGGGGGTTTTTTTTGCCATGTTTTACTCTTTAACACACATTTTGTCGTGCCCAGATTTTTGCCCAAACTCCCAAGGTTGCTGGAGAGTGACGATGTCAATATGAGGATTGCTGCAGGAGAAACAATCTCTTTGCTTTTTGAGCTGGCCAGAGACATGGACCCGGTGAGTTCTGTTCAAAGGAATCCCTTTATTTTCCAGCGTTTGTGTTCTGCTGTCTTTTGTGTCCGTCCTAACATTTTTATTCCCTTGTTTTTTTTTCTTGTCTCAGGAGTTTGATTTTGACCAATTGGACGAACTCTGCGACAAACTGAACGCACTGGCCACAGACTGTAACAAGCACAGAGCCAAGACGGACAAGAAAAAGCAACGATCTGTGTTCAGGGACGTTCTCAAGGCTGTTGAGGTGAGTTGGTGTCCATCAGATTAGGTTTGTAGGAATCTGAGGCCAGTTGGCTCATGGGAAAAATTCACTTCTGTTTTACAGGAGGGCGACTTCCAGTCCGAGACCATTCGATTTGGGACCGAGCGTATGACCATTGACAGCTGGGTCAGAAAGAGGATGTATGATGCCTTCAGGGAGTTTGTGGGCTCTGGAATGAACTATCACCTGCAGGTGTATATTTTAATTATGGATTTGTTTTACATTTTGACAATAGTTTCTAATATTACTTGGGTAACGGCAGGAAATAACAAAGGCGTTAATTTTCCCACTTCATCTTTGATTCCAGGCCAATGAATTCATCCGAGACGTGTTTGAACTGGGACCACCTGTTTTGGTTGATTCGGCAACGATGAAGGCTATGAAAATATCTCGTTTTGAGAGAGTATGTTGTACTGCAGTAGTCACTAGTGTTTTGTTTTCTATTAATTTTAATTGCTTATTTTTGTTAGATTGTAAAAGCCTATTTATTAGGCCCCACCCACCCACCCCCACTTCTCTGTCTCTCTCCTCACATTGGTTTTTTAAAAAAAGTTTTCTCTTGTATGAAACGCTCACCTTTTGTTGATTGGAAGTGACCTTCATTGACCTACACACATTCCTCACAAATATCAGATATTTTGAGGGTATACAAATTAAGTATATCCGTCAATATTAAGTGCTGTTGTATATGTATATTTGTGTTTTGTTAAGTTTTTTTTTTTGTTAATATTACATTTCGTGGCCTTTTCTTTTGTCCATAATAAATAATATAACAAAGCCTGAAACAGTCTCACAGCGTTGTTTGCTACATTTACTTTGTGTTGGAACTTGTTTAACCCCTTTGGAATTTGTATTTGTAATTTGCACTACAGAGTAACAATTACGTGGGTAGTTCCTGTGAATATTGTGGTGTTTTTAGTGTAGGATCTCCAGTGCTTTGTAAGATGTGGTGTAATAAACACTGAAAATCTGCAACAACTTTTGACCACGTTTTTCTGTTTGTTTTACACTGTTGGTGTCAGGAGCGTTTTTACAGCCAATCAACGCACGACATGTGATTCGCCTCATTGACATGTAAATCATGATGAGCGTTTGTGCCCCCTACAGGTAAAACCATGTAAAATAAAAAAAATAATTTAAATTTACATTTAATTTAAATGGTAAAAAAAAGGCTGTTGAATACAAAGTTTTGTAAAAAGGCTTAGCCAAACAGATGATTTTGACATACGCCTAAGTGTAAATGCAGTGTGTAGGATAATTTGCTCCCAAAACTGATAGTTTTAGGTTAGTGTTCGTCACTTTAAAAAATTGAATCTGTCAAAATGGCACATGGGGATATGTGGGTAGTAAAGTTTGATACAAAAGTAGGCAGTATTATCGTATTTTTTATGTTAGTAATATAACAGCAGAACAAACCAAATTGTTTCTACAGATCAGGATTCACTACATGTTATGTGGATTTTATGTGTAAAGCTGAGGTTATAGTGAAACTGAAGAAGGAAAAACTACTCAGAAGAATGTATTGCTTCAGTTCACTTTTGAATGAACGAGGAAAACAACATTACAGCATCTTGATTTCTCTCATCCACAGCAGTAACCGTGGCTCACAGCAGCTGTAAACGTCTCACCACTAGGCTACAAATAACGGAAATAGTTCTAATAATAGTGTCGGTCTCCCAGAGTTCAGAACAACAGACACAGTTTAATGAGTTTTCCCTCATGTAGAACAGGAGAGGATATAAAGAAGTATTATAATTTTATTTTTACGATAGTTTTTTTTTTATTGCAGTGGTGAGTTTTCATTATTACAATCAAAATGTTGTCACGATGACTCTTTTTTTTTATTGTCCAACGTCTCTGCACTTTATGTCCCACAATACACCAAAAAGCACAACAGGACTAACTTGTATTCAATATATTAATTTGGTTTGTTTTCCCCCACAATATCAGTGTCCAGAATAATTGTTTTTTTTTTACCCCCGCAATTTTTTTTTTCAAAATAACTTTAAACAGGATTGTACATTTTGTTAAATTGTGGGTGTCACCCAAAATAAAGTTGTCAGGGACAAACTAACAATCTGTTTTTCTTTTTGTTTTTTTCCCCCCCAGAGTTATTTGTGCACTGCAGATGAAGTGGAGTTGACGTCCTTGGAGCTACGGCTGTCACACCCACGTTCAGATTCTCATTTTGAGTGATATGATTTATCACCGGGCAATATAAATAAATAAATAAATGAAATAAACGCTCACCATCAGTCATGCGGCGCCCCGGGCGTCATAGATGGCACGCCTCGTGCAGTGAGTCAGACATGACAGCGCCGTCTCCATCATGGTGATCATAGCGCTGTGACAGCGAGCTGGCTAATATTGGAAGGTCACTTCATCCTCGTGTCAGTCCGGATGTACTGTATAATGTCAGAGACACACAATTAGAACACAGCAGCAGCAGCAGTGCAACTCACCGGCACAAAAATATCAAGTGGTGTTTTTGTTTTGTTTTTTGTCTGTGACTTGTGTTGATAGAAAGATAACACCAGACATTTTCAGCAGTTATTTCAACGAATGTTAATCAAATATTTACATTTTTCTTTTCTTCAGGTTTGGTTTAAAGTGTCCTTGATATTTAAAAAAAAAGAAAATTGTCAATTTTGAAAAGTTGGAAAAACCAGGACAGATAATGAAAACTCAAGCTCAACACCTGACAATGAGATTCATCCTAGAACAGTGATTCTCAAACTGTGGTACGCATACCACCGGCAGTACGCAGGGAAAATTCATATTTTCACATTTACATTTTCAATTAAGAAATGGATTAGAAAAACTGTGTAGCTACTCGTGAGATTATGAAATAGGATGTCTGGTCTTTTTATTTATTTACTTGTTTTTTTTGCTGCAATGCAAGTCTGTTGCTCACGTAAGCACAGGCACCACGGCATCATGGGAACACTTGATGGAGGAGGAATTCTAATGTTGGTCATCATGGTGGTACTCAGAGAGCTCGATGTTTTTTCTCAGGTGGTACAGAGTATAAAACGTTGGCGAACCACTGTCCTAGAACTTTTTGACTGACATTCTGACACACAGCCGTCTGTTTGACCTGCCCTACCAGCCGATTAAACATCCAAATTCTAAAAGGTAGCTCTAAAGACAAGTTGTCAGTCTCCGACAGCGCTGACTGACATTTCATTCAGTCGGTGAAAGAAACGTCAGTCGGCGCTGCCTCTTCCAATAACACACAACGATGTGTTTCGTTCCAACTCCTGAGGCCGTGCAGCGCGGTGCTGTCTGAAAACCAAAGTGAAGGGTCAAAGATTCCTGTCTGTAAAGATGTCCGTCTCAAACTGAACGCTCCTCAGTGGTAATGATTCACAGAGCAGCGTGCGGACTGATAAGGCTGTGTGACCTTAATAGGTCAGAGGTCACTGCAGTTTGCTTTTCCTTTGAGACTGATATAAAATGGCCTAAAGCTGAGTATAAAACTGTCAGAAATATATTTTCTTTGCTTTTACGGATTTAAAATTTAAGAAAAATCTTTTTTAAAAAAAGGAGTTTGCTTTATTCTGGCAAAAGACTTTACCGTCTGTTCTTTTGCTAACGTTTGTTTGTTTCTTTTTTAGCTTCACCTCGGCAACTCTGTGTTATTGTTGTTGTTGCTATTTTTCCTTGCCATCAACTTTTAACTATTTCTTCACAAAGTGTTTTTATTCTATCTTTGCTACTTCCCATTTCTCTTTTAGTTTTTCTTCCTTACTTTTGTTTATCTTGGCTAACATAGCTAGCTCTTACTCGGCAAACTGTAGCTTAATTTAGTTAGCTTCCCTTCAGCCATTTTTTTTTTTTTGGCAAACAGTCTCATTACTACTTCATTTTTTAATGTGATGTATAGGGGATAATACAAGTTGAAATGTCCTAAAAATATTTGTCCAAAATCTTTGATTTAATTACAATGCAGTTTAAACTAAAGGGAGGAAGTGTAATGACAAGTTATATGGCCACCAGGGGACACCGTCTGAACTTCAATCCAATCTATCTTTCTAACAATAAATCCCTTTTGATTTATTTTTCAATTAAACCAGTTTTTTTCCAGTTATTGTTCAATTAGGTTCACAATTTGAATACAGTCAGAGAGCTTGACAGAACTGGGGAGAATGCTAATGGACTTTATTCACATTCTACACACACACACAGACAGACAGCGGCAGTAATTAAGAGCCTAATTTGGAGCTGAAACAAGAACATGAAAAACTGAGCCGGTGTTTTCACTTTGATCAGTCGTGTCATTTGTGTCGCTGAGTGCAACTGACTGTCAGGTTATTCTGGTTGTGACGCTGCAGAAACATCACTGGGACAAATGTCGAGGGCTGTGAGTGTGGTACAGAAAAGGACTGAACGAGCCTGGAACCTGCTTTCAGGAAAGGAATGGTAAATGCACTCTCCTTCGCTGCACCGATGCTTTCAGCCAATCACTGTTTGGTGTGATTGTTCACGACGAGAACGTGCTGTTTCTGCCAGTCGACCTTTTAGGGCCTTTTAATCGTAATAAGCATTTTGCTATTATTGAAGCTAATGTATTATTATAAGAGACTCAAACACATTTTCTACAGACTCACTGATGTGAATGTGTACGCAGACGTGTCTGAAAACATCAGAACTACTCCTCACTTATTTAACTCCAGCTCACAAATCTGGTGTAGAAATACCATCAGGGCTTGTTATTATTGACAGGACGACAATGACGGGAGCTGAGAGATGTTAGCGACGTCGACCTTTGTTGTCACGTGTGACCTGCTTCCATGCTTGGATGTTGTGCTTAATTCAATTTTGCTTCAAATGGAAAACTCCCCATTTTTTATTTACAGTTTATGAGGCAGATTAATCAAAAGATTTTCCTGGTTTAAGAGTAGAAAAATTGGACTTTAATGATAATTAATCAGTGGGCTTCAGTGACTTTTTAGCAGCTCTTCTTCCAAACTTTCCCAATCTTTCTTGAGCTACGATATACTGTATATTTCACATTTGAAAAATCCCAAGACGAGTAGCACCAAAAAAATTCATTCAAATGTATATGTAATAAAATATAATGATATTCTAGTTATAATTTAGTCACAATTTACTCAGTATTAAAACCGAGTCTGTTTAGTTGAACATGACCCTTGATACTAGCAGGAATTCAAGAAAAACACACAGCTCATAGACATCTGCTGCCACCTAGTGGTAGTTCTTACTTGTTCTGCCTGTCATTGTCACATAGCTACGTCTTACTTGTTCTGCCTGTCATTGTCACGCTACTTTTCAAACCACTTGAGTCAAAATTGACAATTTTCCACTGTACACCAAATACTCTCTCACGACACAATGACTTCGGTTGATTTGATAAACTTTGCAGTCTGTCGCTACGTCTTTAGACATCGTCGTCAGGTGTGCGAAAACCTGCTGAGACCGGTCTGTCAGTGTGTACTCAAAGTCTTTTCAAAATCCTGTAAACATTGTGAGAGCGTTAGCTTAAGCCCTTGGTAGAATATGTTCAAACATTTTAATCCCAACATCTTTATTCTAACATCGGCAAAAGCCTCTGATTTGCTAGTTTTTTTTCCCTAAATCATAGCCACACATTGTTGCACATTAGGACTGTTGGAGCTGAAAAAGGAGTAAGAGGTCCAGAAATAGTCATAAATACATACGATACTTGGCTGTTTTAGCCTCTGTGACACTCTCTACTGTATATATCAGCCGTCATTAGGTTCTGATGTGCCACTCCCTCATCCACCCCCATTTTTTCCACCCTCTTCTAACCATTTCCTTATTTCCTGTCTTCATTTCCTCCCCGGAGCGAGGCGTTTACAGTAGCCGTCAAGCTGAAAAATGGATCTAGAGATTAGAGGCACTTTGTCACCGACCGACTGAGCGCCACGGTACAGTATATGTTCCTTAACGTACGCTGTCGAGCCTGGGGGGCCTGTTGTTGTGACTGAATAAAAAGGCTGCCGCCTGTGATGACAACAATTATGCAGCCTATACGGTACACATCACCATGAAGTATTCAGCTCCTCTGTCTTAGCTCCTTCTGATGCGTTCGAGTGTTTGTTGAGTGTTTGTATTCCTCGTTATGATTGGTGCCTTTGGTTGTGTCCCTGTTTTTTTTTTTTTCTTCTTTTAACTGACTTCGTTTGTCAAGAGAACTCAATAAAAATCTCTTTTCCACTGCTTCTCTGGTTGGTCCCTGAGGTGTTTACGGTACTGCCTCAAGATTAACGGTGGAATAATTAAGTTGACTAAGAGCTGGTGACGCACTCACTGATTTTTTGTTTTGTTTTTGTTTCATGAGCAGTTTATAAAGAGGCATACAAAAAGTATCAATGCCCATTTTTTTTTGTTAAAAGTTTGCTTTATTTTTTTTATCCTTTTTTTTTAAACTAGTCAATAATTTCCACACACCCACACACATAATTGGCTCCAGCGGGGTTGTCAGAACTCTTGCTCTGATCCCAATCCTGGAGAACAATAATTGACCACGCTGGTTTTGGCTCCAAAAAATTGATTTCTAATGTTAATTGACCACGCTGGTTTTGGCTCCAATGCCCAAATCCCAAATGCACAGACTTTTTTCAGTTCTAGTTTAACAAAAAAAACCCAAAACGTATCCTTCAAAAAATACTTTAAATACGTTTTTAAAAACAATTCTAAAGTAACAATTAAATAAGATATTATATATTTACATGTTGATTTAATGTTAAATGTTAAATCCCAGAGTACTGTTTTGAGGTACTTATGGCTTTGGCCAGATGTCAACATACTGCGTGACGACTCGGCGATACTGCACAACATCCTATTCCGATCTGATGATTATTTCTGAGCCGGTGGTCTATAAAGTTTCAGCAGCGTCACTTCAGGAGATAAAATGTCTGGGAGCGTGTGCTCACTCTGCTGCAATACAGACTGACACAATACAGACAGTTGATGCAGTTATGATATTAAGAGGCTGAGGCTGGAGCTTGGAGTCGTGGAACCGACACTGATATAGTAAACGAATACATATATTATCATGTATTATTAGATGAACAGATAAACACACTGTCTGAAGGCTTACAGTACTGCCCTCCTCCCCTGCTTTTTTTTTACCCTCGTGTTTAAACGGGGTTAATGATAAGGACTTTTCACTGCTGCAGCCGTGGCAGTAAAAAGTCTTTTTAGCTGAAGTCAGTAAAGTTTATTTATACCGCCCATTTTCTGGAGCATGAGGTAAATTAAAACGCCGGCGATGAATCACCCGAATGAGGAAAAACTCCTAATGCTGTTTGTTAATTCTGCTTACAATGCTGTTGACATCACCCGGAACCAAACAAAAGGGGATATAATGTCAAGGTGAGTGTAATGCCAGACTTTACCAGAGGGTGGCAGTTGCTCA